AAAAAAAGGACAAAGGTCATATCATCGTAGTGGCGACAATCATCACGTGGGATTTCACAAACGCAAAAGTATTTTGAGTATTTCCATGCTTAATAATGTGCTGTAGACATTTGATGATAGTCAATTTCAATGAAGTAAGGGTATTCAAATGCAATATTTCCCTGTCAATGATTGGCCTTTCAATGTGAGCTATGAAATAAAGAAATTCAAGTTCAAAACCAAATCATTTGATTTTTGCAGCAGACATTCGGTGTGCACCTTTCCTGCAATTCACAAGATCTCGCTGTTGTAAGGAAAATTGCTTATTCGATGTGTGTTCAATCAAAAGTAGATAAAGCAATGTGCACCTTGCTATGCGATGAAGACCCCACATGATTACCAGAAATCACAAGACAAACACATTTTCAGAAATACTAAAAGCAGTTTTGTCTGAGGCTGCATTTTTTAGCCTTCGAGAAAATAATTGCATGTCCAATAAACTCAATCACTTTGGTTTCTATTTTGAAAACATGTATTGACTTACTGAATTAGCAGCTTGTAGTTTCTGATGAAAATTAATTTGTAAATGCTCTATGCTGTGTTGGGTTTCGTAATTTGTCTTCGTTCTACTTTTGGACTCACTACCACCAGAGAAATTTAATAGACGAGATTGAAATGATGATTTCTTCTGAGATTTTTTGGGTTTAACTTTATTCAGTAATTCTTGTATACTACTGGAATCATCAAATTCTATAACAGCATATAGACCCTGTGTAGAAAGATATAAAAAGTCAACAATGTTACAATCTCTTCTAAAATCAGCATCAATTTCATGAAATCACATGGATGTACATTGATGTACTGCACAGTTTGTCAAATGAACACTACATTCCATACATTTTGTATTTGTAACAGATCTAATCGAAACTTTTGTACAGATTGTTCACAATAATACAGAATTGAAACAAAGACAAAATAACCTTACATCTCCTGTGTATGTAAATGAGTTCCTTAATTTTCCAAGCTGAGAACAATAGTTTATCAGCCCCTTTTCCACGCCTTCACCTCTAAGCCGGACGAGTATACTTCTATTTGCCTGATCTCTATGCTCAGATAAAAACTCAGCAAAATTCTTTTTCTTTGCAACTGAAAAAAAATTTATCATTTAAATCTCAGTGGTACGGATGGGATGACATCATGAGTATTTAATATAAATAAAAAGAATAAGACAATTAGCACATTCAATTTTATTTTACTCCATTACCTAGAGTGTCGACAGTCCTCGGGCCTAATGTAATTGTGTTTCCTAGACATTCGAACGCCAAAGGCATTTGATGGGAAACATTTCACGCAAGGGACTTTAACACAACACAAACGATGTGGCAGTAGGACTATTTAGTTGTCAATACTACAAAGTGTTTTTGTTAGTTTGTAATTCTTCGCCTAGCAATCGACAGGACAGTCAGTTTTATGAACCAAGTAACACCTTGGTAACGGATTACGCAATGGAATTATTTTCTTTTGTAAATTATAACTATTTCACCGTTTTCAGTGCGATCACAAAAAAATCATTATCAGCTATCGATGAAATATTTTAAAACTTGTTTATCAGTAGGAATAAATCAACACAAGATCCCTCTAATAACAAAAATACGCAAATAATTGGCGTAGTAAAATTCTTGTGGTGATTCATCACAAAATGGTGGTGTGTGGTGGCAGAGATACTTTCGATGATCTAACCGCAAGAAACTCTGAGAAGAAGAATGCACACGCATATGAACTGTGCTTGACAAGATGACATCATTGTCAGGAATGGGTATCTGCACATGCATTAATTAAATGGCCGCTGCTGCTGTGTCGTCACAGGAAGCACTGTCCCAGTCATATGACGCCTTACTAGCCAATTTTGGCTAAAATAGCACTCCGCAGCCTCTTTACACTTATGTTTATACACGGAACTTGATAATTTTTTTCCAATTTAAGTTGCTTTTTAATCACGTATTTTAGTTAAATATTGTTTAGTGAGTGAAATATTAATGTCATAAATAATTCAATCTTCGAAACAACAGAAACTAACACATAATAACGATAATCAAATATGTGTTTGAAGTTCTAAAGTACTTGCGTAATTTCCGGTTTCAACTAGTTCGAAAATTTCACGTCCATGGATGCGATAAAATCAGGCGTAGAACGCCTTTCGTACCAGACACTAGCAGCGTAAACTTATTACAAATTTGCGTAATTTGGGCCCAGTTTGTTCTTACAAGTTTCAATTATCATTATTTAGTAAACAGACCCATGAAACAATTTAATACTTCTGTAAAATACGTGCCAACAGACGACTGACTTCGAAACGTTCAAAGTTTCGAACAAACTCCCGGCTCACTATGCACGATATGCGTCAGAACGGTGTAGAAGACGCTGACCTGCAGCGTCAATGGCTAAGGAGTTACATAGTCGGATTTCGTGACATTTTCACCAAAATATACAGGATAAAGATAAGCAAAGGTAAATAAAGTTTGATCGATCGACTAGAAATGAATTTGTTGTCATTCGTTGCGAGTTTGACAGGTAATAATTGATGGGAACATTTTTGAAAAATTGTATTTATTTATTTTGACGGATGAAGGTTTTCTACCATGTCTATTTCTTTAGTTCTAGAAGTGTATAACTTAGGGCGATTTTGGTTCTAGGGGCGATTTATGTCAAAACGACGAACCAAGCAACGTAAAGGCCCTGGACGGTTGCGGCCCTGGTAAAAAAAAGACGTTCCGTCCCAAAAACATGTTAATGTTAATATATTAAATGCACAAGTGTTTGACTATCTTGTTTAAGAACTTATTTTTTGTCTTTTGCAGGGCATTTTTCACGATTTAACACCGTGTTTGACAGTGCAACAGATATATGTTCATTTATTCGCCGCCGCCTATGCACATGAACCACAGACATTAGAATACACATCTAATACAATCTGTTTTAGTCAGGGTTCGAATGCACATTCGTGGTTTGTCGCGTAATAAACGTTAATACATTAAATGCACAACGAATGTATGACTATCTTATTCACAACTTATTTTTCGTCTTTTGTAGCACTTATCAGAGTTCATGGAAAGAATGCAGCCAATTAACGCTTACATTTTAGCATAATGCAAAGGCCATACACATCTCCTGGTTGGGCATGGTGTCAAAATACACACAATCACTGAAATGGTAATGAGGAGTGTAGCAAACAGGTCACTTGACTCCAGTGACAAGGTGTCAAAGCACACACGAATATTTAAATAGTAACAAGTGTAGTGAACCAATTTTCTAATCAACATGATTATTATCCAGCAAACGCAATGTAGCATTAAATCTGCTGTTTTCAATTGAATTCATTTGTAACATTTCCTTGCCTTGTTTGAGTTTCTTTTTATAATCAGTGGGACTTATATAACGCGACTACCGTAACATGGGACGATTTTTTTTTATTATAAGTGGGACAGATAAAACGCGACGTACCGTAACATGGGACGATTTTTTTTTTCATTATAATTGGGACTAATAGTGGGATGAATACGATTTGAATATCCATCTTTTGAAAAATCAGGGCCGGATCGACCAAACTGTTTCGGGGCCGGAACGTCCAAACCAGGGCCGGAATGTCTTTTTTTTTACCAGGGCCGGATCGTCCTGACACCAAATGAGTAACCCCAAAATGAAGTAGGCCACCAACCGGTTGACCTATCATGTGATCGGCGACGGCCACGGTTCGTACATTCGAGTGCAGGAGCATTACGGGGATCCATTAGAAATCAAAGAGTTGTTGAGCTGTGCAATCGTTGATACGTTCGATTGAGTGTAAGAGTACCGTCCATGGCGATCGCGTGGTGCGCGAAGGATCACGCCACTCAGCAATGCACACGCACATAGTACTCACCGGTTTTATGTATATTTACATTTTCTCTGGTTATTTTACCGCCATTGACAATTGAAGTGGTTGAGAAAAGTCTCTTGATACATAATGAGCACTGATTTACGCATGGAATCGGTAAATGTGTCAGACAACCACAAAGTTTCATGGAAGTCGCCATTTTGAATGGCAGTGTGCGCATTTTTGTTTGCGCATCCAAACAAATATACATTGTACGTGCTTGAAAATATTTAGGTCGACTTTATATTTGGCGAATTTGCTTTACAAATATTATTTATGTTCGATGAATTATCAAACCCTTTTTTACTAACAATGATAAAATGAAATTAAACTATCATGACCTTTTAAACTTTGACCGTGATCACGTGTTTTCTGCCGCCATTTGTAAAAATACATGTACAAAACAAGTGTGTGAATGATGGAAATGGAAGAAAACGTATACACTGAACAAGGTCATGGCTATGTATGTAACATTTGTCATGTTTACCTCAATACGGGTAAGTATGCGCGTTCAACTGGCGTTTGTATTTTGCATAACATTGCTAAAATGATATTTGAAACTAATACTGAAGAAAAAAAAAATCAATTCAATCATAAACATTTATAAAGTGCCTGAATCCAAAACTATGCTCTGTTCAAAGACGCTAAGGGAATTATTCCACGATGTAGGCTTTGTTGAATAAATATGTTTTAACTGACTTGACGCATGTCAGATGGAAGGGTGTTCCAAAGTTGGGGAGCAGAACGTGAAAAGTAATAATAATGTGAATGCGCCACTAAAAATATGATTTCACTTGGTGATTGTCAAAATGTATATTATTTTGTGAACCTATTGCACAAACGTAGTAAAATTATATTTTTTTTGTTGCTGATTATTAATAGTGTTGCATTATTATTTTATTTTGTTCAGTATTAGTATTAGTTTAACATGCTGACACACAATTGATAATCAAATAAATGTGATTAGTTTGACGATATTTACTATATGGGGTCAGTCATCTTGAATATCGCATGAAACGAAAGAGTTTCAAGCCATATTCTAAATGACTTTTCCTGTATACACAGTTATTATTTTGAAACTGCTGCTTTTGAAACACCAAACACATTTTGCCTGACGAGTTACACCATTCATTCCTTATTGGGGCAGAAACTTGCACTACACTTGTTGTGGAAACTGTAACATACAAAATGAAAACACACAATCATTCTTGTTAAGCATAATATCAATATTAACACAAATATTGGTAAACTTTTCCTAATAGACAATATGCAAGACAAAATCATTCTGCCAACATTTATCCCATCACTAAGACAGTGCCTTTATTTATTTTATGGACACTTTTAATATCTTAAAATGTAGACTAAAACTAAGACATACAAAATATGTCTAGAACTAAAACTAAGACATACAAAATATAACAAGACTAGAAATGATAAAACTATGAAAATAAGAAATAAAACTTAAATATTTCTGGAGAAAATAACATTACAAAAAGTTTGGTCGCTATAACAACATAAAAGTTAAGTAGAATTCAATTACAGACTGGGTTCACTATGTTCAGTGAAGAAGTAATTCCATGTTTATACTGCAACTTATTACTATTATATTTTCTATGTACATTGCTAGCTAGGCTGATGATTAGTGGCAAATTATGCCAAATTAAGCCAAATAAACTATTCAACAAAAGACTATATTACTGTGAAATACTTTATTTTAGCTGGAATAGTTATGTTTGAAGCATGTCTAAAGTTATTATCAATTGTTCAGTTTGGACAAACTGAATGATTTGTATACCTGCAGCATCTCTTTGATGACTGTTACAGTTACAGAAACCCTAGTCTTTTAGATGATATCTTTTTGTAGATCTCTTCTCTTAAACCAAACAATGTTTAGATTGCCATTAAATGGATAGACAATATCGCATGTTAAAGTAGAAGCCTACCGATAGTCATAATTTTTGACAAAATTGGTCATAAATACCATGACGATGTTCGTTAGTTTATTATGTACAATGAAGCTAATGTCCCATGGTACAATGAAATAGCATTATTTTGTGTGTTACAGTTATGCTTTTTGAAAAATGTGTTCTAATATTTCTTGAAAATTGCTATTTTTAGAACAATTCCATAGAACACACTTTTTAAAACCCAGATTTTTTAAATAATTCAGAACAACAAAAAGTACTCCAACATTAACAATATATGATTTTTTTTCAGCCTCTGTCACTAGGCTAGATTTTGAGATATTTCATAATAAACGTGTTATAAATACAAATGTAGTGTCAAAATGGTGACCTTCCACTAAAATACAACCATTAATTTCTCAAATAAAAGGCTGGTGACCCCCCAATTTTTTTTTAAGTCAATATTCTTATATTGCCTTGAAGTACAGTTTATTGCAAAATGAATAAATTCTGGGTATTTTAATTTATGAGTAGGCTTCTACCTTAAATCATTATCAGTAGTGGTGTGTGCATGCCACTAATGCCCAGATTTGATTAGTTTTGGGTTAAAATGTGTGAATATTAATTTGTATATTGATTTGTCAATTTTTAATTAATTTTTAATGCGTCTCAAACACTCTTAGCACACAGTTCTTTGATTTTTCTTCTTTTTTGAGATTTTGATTTTACTACACAATATAGGGCTTCCTTAGTAATACTTATGTATAGTTATGACTACTTTCATTGATCACATTGAGACAGTGGTGTGCATAATGTCTTGCTGCATACACAGTCTGTTTCCTCACATTAACCACATGCATTACTGACTAACCTAGCAATTTTCAGCTTTTCCAAATCAGTTGTAATGCAGGGGCAATTATGTTATGATCAAGAAACATAAAATGAACGTATCAACTTTATGTCTATATGCAATAACATTAAGAATTGCACCATTTATTTTTTTTTGTTAATTAGATAAAGTACTCAATGATCATTTGAAAGGAAAGAAACACAACAAACTTAATGACATGATTCAATACAGAAAACGACAAGCTGAAAGAAGTATCTATGTATGTGGATTTGCCAAGGGTACCTCAGAACTGGCCTTAATTGATCATTTCTCTGATTATGGTACAGTGTCTAATGTTATAATGGACAAGGATAAAGTAAGTATTATTTATTAGTGCCGTTAGGACGCAGTGCGAAAACAGGGACTTATGTTTTGACCTCCGTGTGTCCAAGCGTGCGTCTGTGCGTGCGTCCGGACCTGTATCTTAGAAATGCCTGGACCAATCACAATCAAACTTCACACATACATCATACATGATAGTATACATATGCGCGTCAATTTGTTTCACGATCTGATTCAAGATGGCCGAATGGCGGCCATTTTTGTGCTAAAAAATCATCAAAATCAAGCATTTCTCGGCTGTTTACAGATGGATTTTGTTCAAACTTGGTATATACATTAGACATTATGGGACCTTAATGCAATTAATTTTGTTTTTCAGATAAGATTCAAAATGGCCGACTGGCGGCCATTTTGTTTTAATGAATGTGGTTCTCGTGCCATATCTCTGACTTGCTTTCACTGATTACGTTCAAATTTTAAATTTTCAATATACATCATGTCACAGATACACAGATATATTGGTTTGACGATCCTATTCAAAATGGCCAAATGGTGGCCATTTTTGTGCTAAAAAATCATCAAATATCAAGCATTTATCGATGGATTTCGTGCAAACTTGGTACATATGTTAGACATTACAGGTTCCTGATGCACATCATTTATTTTTCAGATCGGATTCAAAATGGCTGTCTGGCGGCCATTTTGTTTTAATGATTGGGCTTCTAGAGCCATATCTCTTACATGCTTTGACTGATTATATTCAAATTATATATATTCGTTATACATCATGTTATATATATATACATGTATTCAAAATGGCTGATTTTGAATGCTGTTCCAGTATTTCTTGACGATCAGATACAATTGTCAATCATTTTAATGTTAAAAAATCATATTCCTGACATGGTTATATTCCAGCTATACTACTATAAACAAAACTATATATCTTAAATTTGATAACTAACGGGGACTGCCATGCATGGCTTGTTTATTTATTATGTTAAAGTTGTCTTATTAGGATCACACTATTATATAATATTGCTCACTGTAATGTTGGTTTTATTTGTTTAACCATTTCTTGGTCGCCTTGGCCAATTTTTTTCAAAGTTATTACAAAGACAAGACAAATTTTGTGTTTTTAAATGTAACCTTCTAGTTATTTATGATATCCAAGGCCAAAATAGGGACTGTGATATTTATGTCTCATCCTGTAAACAGCAGGTTTTTCAGATCAGATTAAAAATGACTGACTGGCAGCCAATTCACTATGTTCAATTACCCACCATAGACTCCGGTCAGTCAAAATGACTATTTTGAACTGTAGGCATTAATCAGCGATTCTGCCGGTGACGGAGAGATAGAATACAGGTCAGGGGAAGCCCCATGACCTCAAGATTCTTTTACCCCTTACGTCACGAACCCACGTGACCGAGGCCACCTGGCAGCGCCACAGGTAGCCATCCATCACTCTTAATTTCTCTCCGCCTCGAGTGAAGATGAAATCTAGCGAGCTCTGCTGGGTCGCCTGCTTTTTTTTTTCCTGTCCGGATTTATAGCTTGGGTTGTTGCCGCTGCTCGGCATCCGACATGGTAGCTGGTAGGATAAGTTTTCCTTGTCGTTTTTACCCTTGTGTTGTTTTCCTCTTTGTGTGTAGTATTTTTCACATCAAAGAAGTTAAAATCCGACGCCACTACGTAACCAGTTGGTTTTCATGGCGGCACCTTTTACAACTGTAATTCGTTTCCCTCATGCATGTCTTTTATTTTCAATGTATTTAGCAATACCGTACTCAACCGCGTTAGCACCCATGCCCGGGCAAGCGCCCATTCCCCACTTTTGCACAATTTTTATATTTAGGGTCACATTCGGCAAAGCGCCCACCCCTTCAAAATGCAACTAATTTAAAACTTGGTCTTGCGCAACGAATCTTGGTAATCATTTTTATATGATACAGCGTGGATATCGACCGCTGTGAACATGTTGTGAATGCGTAGAACACGGTAACCATGCGTAAACTACGCTTCGACAATGACCTGTTAATACAAGTAAAATGCGGTAAATATTTCATGCCATATTCAGTTTACCTCTCAAAAATGGCTAGTTACTAGTTTTTTGGAAAAACTATGTCGTTTATTCGCTGAAACCAATTCTAACAGATCGTACTTCGACATCGATAATTCACTTCCGCATTGCGTTACCGGAAAGTCTTCGGGAATTTCCAAAGAATTGCGTCAGTACAACACAGCATTGTGATTGGTTAATAACCAACTTGACCCATTAGGTCAAAGGACGCCGCTGCAGGTGAAATCTGCAAATGCATCATGGCGGAAAGTGATTTTCATCGAGAGTTTGCGTACGATCCAACACCTTCGTCAGTGGAGATAATATGACAATTTTGACTTCGACTGTGTTCCAACAGACTCAAATGTTTTTAATTTTGTAAATTCTGGTGGTACGTAATTAATTAATATTGTAATAAAATGTGCATATTTTTTGTGATCATTTCTGTTTCTTCAATGGAAAATCAATGACGACTCAACTAATTTCGTAATTTGATTTCCCTCAAAGACATAATCTGTCACTTGATGAATCAAATTTTTCATTTGCACTTTTTTTCGGGGGGTGCTCGGGTAAGCGCCCACCCCTAAAAAATCTTGATTTTCTGAGTTGAGGCCCCTGGGCGCTAACGTGGTGGAGTACGGTATATAGATGTAATGACAGCACCAGGGCTCGCTGCAGTTTTCTTTCCGGTCTCCTCGTGTTTCGAGTGGACCATGCAGTGGTTTACCAGCATAGAACCCGCATCCGAGATACTTTGTCGTAGCTACGTGCGGGTTTTGGGATTTTTGCGTGAAAGCGTGTTTGTTTTTTTTCCACTACAGTTCTGAGGCCTGAGATTTTCTTTCAGAGCCATCAAAATCGCTGAGACTGACCGCGTCACAGCAAGGTCGCACGTCCAGTAAACAAATCTGTTAAAGTGAGTTGCGTGTTTTGCATGAGTGGAAAGTCCTCTCGCTCGGCTACCGGTACTTCATGTACCGGGATGTCGAGTAAGAGGCCCGACGGTGGAGGTACCGATATTTCAGGGCAGGGCACACGTTGACACCCCCCCTCCACTTTCAGCCAGCTAGGGTTCGTCACACGGTAACGGTACAACAGTAACGAATTTATCATTGTGTCCCTACTGTGGGTTTTGACTCCTTTCTTACCGACCCACGGGTGTCCCCAGAGGGAACCGACCCTGTCATGAGACACACAGTCGAACACGCTCCCACTCACATATTTAAAGTGAAAGGAGACTCAGTTCGCTCGCGTCAGATACAGCCGGTACTCTGGGCGGTCCCTCAGAGTCTTCCATCTGTATGACTCGGTGAGCCACGCTTTTGGGGTGAGGTGGAGTATCATCGATCCCAGTGATACGATGTATATACCCCCACCCTTGATTCTAAAGCGACCACCTATGTTTGCTTCAACGCTTATGGGATCACCGGCGTTGGGATCCAAAGCAACCCCGTCGGCACCTCTCTCCCTGTCCGCCTGAGTGTGGAGTGGGGCGCAGAGCATGCAAACAGTGTTGATGGGCAGCATTGGTCAGCTGCTGAGGATGTAATGCTTAAGGCCCCCGGGTGAGGATAACATTAGGCAACACTTCCCACTGGACCAAACGCTACCCGGTCGGTGTGGTTTCGAGATCAGACCCCATAGCGTGGGATGAGACCAAAACGCCCCCAACCGGATTCCAAGGCTCCTTCCCCAGACCCCGGTACCCCGAATTTGGCAAACTGGGCAAAGAGGGATAGCCGTGTTCCATGGGTGTCTTTGCCAATTGAAGACGACCCATCCAGCCCTGAGGGCAGAGTTGCTTGAGCGCATGATTATGCGTGACCAGCACTCTGGAGACCTTGGAGGCAGAACGCACCAGCCTCCTAGACCAGGCGACATTTTTACTGATGGGCCACTGCACATCTACATGCGACACCCCCTAGTGTCGCCTGGATCTCTTGGCCAGGGCCACTACCGTGCTACGAAACGCGGCCTTAGACGCATGTGTTTTCGCCAACAAGCTGAGCCGGGGTACGTCCCCACCTCAGTGACGCAGACTGGACCATCCTCCACCCTCTTTGTTCAGAGAATGGTGGGTACAGTCTCGGAGCTTCGGAGTGGAATGAACCAGAGGGTTCAGATTGAATCCGCTAGCTAGTTGGTCCTGCCATGGGCAAACAGAGGGCACCCCAAGCACAGAAAACACAACGCCCTAGGGCGTCATCCGCTAGCCAGAGTCAGCCAGGAGGCAAGCGCTTATACCCTTCCATAGCAATCCTCCTTTGGTGCCTGGAATACAATGTGGAGCTAACCGCACACCTCCTTCCAGGGGTGAGGAACAGTTTGGCGACGCCCTTTCAGGGCGGCTCCGTCTCCAGAACTCGGAGTGGCTGATACCCAGTGGGTAGCCTCCAGGCTGTTTCGGCCGTGGGACGGTTCAAGGTTGGACCGTTTTGCTGCACCCCGGAACGCCAAGCTCCCGACGTACGTAACACTTCTGCTGACTCCAGGAGCCTGGGCCAGGGTCACTTTGCTAGCCCCATGGACTCACTTAGTTGTGTATGCCTTTCCTCCATTCCCGCTAGTTCACAGGGCACCGGAGAAAACTTCGACAGGTGCACACCCCCATATTATTATGGGTTGCACCCAATTGGTCAAGCAAGGCCTAGTTTCCACTTCTGTTGGAAATGCTAGTCGAAGCGCCAGCAGTGCTTCTGGACTTACCGGACCTGCCGTTCCAACCAGACGGCGCACTACCAACGCGCCCAGCAGGCATCACTCGCACGCATTGAGGCTCTCAGTAGACCCGCACATACGAAAGCCTTATCTGAGCGGGCTGCCAACGTCCTGGCCAGGGCGAACAGGGATTATACCTTCGCGGCCTACATTACGCGACTGCAAGCATACACTGATTGGTGTAGTGGAAGGGAGATTAATCCATACCATCCCTCTATTGGCCAGGTAGCAGGCTCCTTCGTCTACCTGTTTGACGAAGTGAGTTTGTCCTACGCAGCGAGTGTTGGCTACAGGTCGGTCTTGTCCCCCACCACTCAGAACATACGGGAACAAGACTAGCCGATTGTCCTATTATTAGGAGACTATTTACTGTTTTCCAGACGCCAAGACCCCATACAAGGGGGCCGCCCAACTGGGACTCGTCGGCTGTGTTATCTGCTCTAAGCAGACCGCCCTTTGAGCCTCTCCAATCAGCACCACTCAAATTTTTGACGTGGAAAATAGTCTTCCTACTGGCCCTCGCCTCAGGTAGGCGCCGCTCAGAGCTAGGCGCACTGTCATTCACAGACGGTTGTGCCGCTTTTATGGACGATCAAGTTGTACTAAAGACACGAATCGGGTTTCTCGCCAAGAACCAAATCCCAGGACACGATCCTCAACCGATCATCATCCCCCGGCTGGCAAATATTGTCGGCCCAGAGGATCAGGAGGAATTGCTTCTCTGCCTGGTCCGAGTGCTGAGTTTCTACGAGAACCGTACCAGGTTTTCCAGACAGATGTTTTTGTGTTACGGCCCTGGCAAACAGGATAAGCTGGCTTCCCCGACTTCATCTCCAGTTGGATTACTGCGACTGTACTGGAGGTCTATAATACACTATCCTCCTCAACACAGACCTCGCAGAGACACCAAGTACGAGAACATGAGGTCCGTGCGATTGCTAACTCACTAGCGCTAGCGTCAGGTGCCCCCCTCAAACACATTCTGAGGGCAGGCTTCTGGAGAACGCAGAACGTCTTCATCAACTACTACCTAAGAGACACCCAATCTATTGAGCAGGATCTCTTCAGGTTAGGCCCCGTCGTAGCGGGTCAGGCCTTGTTTGCTGACCCAGCCCAAACGACCGCAGGGGCCTCTGTGCATAGGCGATAAGTCAGTCTCGGCATTTTTGCGGGCAGATTGTCTGTTCCACTAGCACTTCCTGGAAGCTCCCAGGTTTCGCTTCTGTCAACCTACGCCCTCATGCGAACTGTTTCGGTCCTACTTCAACCTTATCACCCCTGAAATTGGCTTGAGTCTAGCTTTCTCTGGCACAGCGAACCCTGTCACCACAGCAGCATTGGCGAGGGTTCTCCGAACCCGCCTATACACATAGTTCATACCCACCATGAAGCGAGAAGCCTCGCCTAATTTTGTTTAATGAATGCTGTTCTAGCGCCATATCTTTGACATGCTTTGACTGATTTTATATATGAATTATACATTATATCATAGATATACCAATGTATAGTTTTGACGATCTGATTCAAAATGGCTGACCTGTGGCCATTTTGTTTCATTTAATGCTGTTCCAGAGCAATATTTCTCAATATGAACAAGTACTCGTACTATATTACTATAAACAAAACTATATAACTTAGATTTGATAACTAACAGGGACTGTGTCCTGCATGGCTTGTTTTTCATAATATGTACTTTCAAACATCCAAATACTGATTTTGTAAAATTGCCAGACACTGACAAATACTCTTAGTATTCAGAGATTATGGAAGCTTGTTTTCTGATGAGATGTGACCTACATGTACTAAATACAGATTCATTCTCCTACTTGCAGATTTCTGAATTAAGTTTGCTTTTTAATTGAGTTGCAGCAATTTGTGTGTACTCCAGGTTCACCATTGTTTGGTTTCGTTGCCCAGAAAATTGCATCAAACACTGAATTCTGTAAGATTAGAAACTGTCAATTCATGCTATTCTGAGGACCAATGCATCAGAGTATTCACAAAAACAATAGTTTATTGTTTAACAAAGCACATGATAAATATTATAATTCCTTATTAACTCTTATCTGAAAAGTAAATGTAAAAGTGCATATGGCTGGCAGAATAAACTGTGTTGAGTATGTTCCACGAGTACTTGATAGAATTTGTCATTGCTGACTTGTGGCTATTTTGTTTCAATGAATGCAATTCTAGTAGCAAATCTTTGACATGCACTGGCCAAACATCACAGGACTATGTAATGCAATTCTAGTAGCAAATCTTTGACATGCACTGGCCAAACATCACAGGACTATGTAATGCAATTCTAGTAGCAAATCTTTGACATGCACTGGCCAAACATCACAGGACTATGTAATGCAATTCTAGTAGCAAATCTTTGACATGCACTGGCCAAACATCACAGGACTATGTAATGCAATTCTAGTAGCAAATCTTTGACATGCACTGGCCAAACATCACAGGACTATGTAATGCAATTCTAGTAGCAAATCTTTGACATGCACTGGCCAAACATCACAGGACTATGTAATGCAATTCTAGTAGCAAATCTTTGACATGCACTGGCCAAACATCACAGGACTATGTAATGCAATTCTAGTAGCAAATCTATGACATGCACTGGCCAAACATCACAGTACTATGTAATGCAATTACTCATTGTAAAAAAGTATTTTGCATCCTGAATCAACATAAAATTTATAATTGCTTTGGTGGTTTTTATGTACCTCAGGGAAAATATGCCATAATTGAATTAGAGAGTAAAGACAGTGTTGAGAAGATACTCTCAGCGGAACATACCATTGCAGGACACAAGATAACTATAAAAGAAAGGCAGCACAAGGAAGTACAATATAAACGTACACAAAAGAAGGGAAAATCAGTGAAAGACAAAGAGAAGAAATCAATTGAAGATTTGATTAACTTGATTGGAAATGAATCATCTGTAAGTTGATTGGCTTACAAGTACACGTGTTTCAAATGACATCACTAAGATTAAATCATGTGATTAATTATTTATGAAAATGTTCTTTTCGACAAACAAGTGAGTAAACAAAAACTATAATATCGACTGATGTATTTATAACTTTTGTGGCATTGAATTAATTCAGCAAAGATTTGTTCAGGGAATGAGTGTTCTCAGGTTTCACAACAAGTCGCAGAAATTTCACAGCAAAGGAAACTCAATTAGGGTAGAAAATGACTATTTGTACGCACACACTCAACACATTTGATATCTGTTCACATTGATCATCATTGTGATTTATGTCTGCTCAGTTCTCATCTCGTAATCATAAATTATTTTTGTGACACTCCTACACCTGCCACATTTCATCTCACAACCAACTGCATTTCAAGACGTTATGTAATATGTCTTTATTTTAGTTTTTTTTTCTTGTTTGTACATCTAATTGCAAGTTTTCCATTTATCAGTGTCTATTTGTTCTGACTGTCATTCTGTTCATGATCCAGTGTGAGTCTATCACCCCCACCCCCCCACCTTTACAATGCTTCAAAATTGCTGGGAAATCTATTATATCTGTTGAATTGAATGTAACTTGCGTATATAATACTTTTTCAGATTAGCGATCAGATGGCTAACTTAATGTCAAATGTAAGATTACAATCCCAAGACGTAAAATTACGATATTTAATATGTGACTTGCTGCAAGAAATATTCAAAGAATTCTTTCCTAAATGTTTGGTCTTCCCATTTGGATCATCCGTAAATGGATTTGGTTCCAAGGGATGTGATCTTGATCTTCACTTGGACTTGCATGGAAGTAATTACAAATATATATTTTGTAAGATTCCAAAGGAATTCTCTGATGAAAAAGTAAGTGTATTTAAATAATTCTGTATTTGCTCTATCAGTAGTATATATACTTGTGTAAATTATTGATGTCTCTATGGTTAAAATAAGTCAAAGCCCTGTGTACACTAAATCCAATTTTTTTTTTATCTTAGGAATTTATGATAGCACTGAGGTGATATTGAAACCATGATGACAAAATAACATGCAATTATTACAAGAGAGATTTATTATCATTGATTTTTGAGCAATTTGTCAGAAATCTGAGAAAATAAATTTTCTAATGTATGTAGCCACCAGATTTTAATCCCTCTTGTGAAAAACTGCACAAATTACACAAACATTTCTCGCAGGCTACAACTAAACATGTTATCCTTGTTTTTTGGGGACTTTTAGAGAATAGTCCTTGCTTGTGACAATGGATACTCAATAAAAGTCTGATTTTTTTTTTTTACTTAAATTCTCAAGTACCATACTTGTGTCCACAGATTCTAAGCTGTGCATATTTAGTCCCCGTTCGGACGTAGTCCGAAAACGGGGACTTATGTTTTGCCCTGTGTGCGTGCGTGCGTCCGTGCATGCATGCATGCATGCGTGCGTCCGTGATCACCTGTATCTCGAACATGCATGGACCGATTAAGTTCAACTTCACTCATACATCACACATTATATGGGACATATGCACATGCATTTTTTTCATGATCCGATTAACGATAGCCGAATAGCGGCCATTT